ATAAAGAAAATCTAATGACTAGATTTTCTATAAATAAACAAAACCGATTTTAAAGGCCTGTTTATATTTATTCATGTTGCCATGGCAACGGCACATAGGTCAGCTTAACCATCAAAAAACCAAAGTTTGTGTTGTTAACTTGCTTGCTGCCATTTTTGGCGACCGAGGGATCAAGGGTTTTAGAGAAAAAGGTGAATGAACACAGCTATCAAAAACTGTGTTAAGCCACCTTAACCGGAGGGGATTTGAAAAAGCCCGAACGCAAGGGGGTGGCCCTATAAAGGAGAGATAAAATTCTTTTGCGTCATCTTCGCGATCACTCTCAAGGGCTCGAAGAAAAACGACTCGTAGCAAAAACTGGTTTTCTCTTTTGTGTAAATTACTAAACAGTGAAAAATTTGTAGAGAATGGCGTGACGTATGTTCACTTTCTCGTGACAATCATAAGTTACAATCATCATCACTGAAGAGGAAGGAAGAATGCGGAATTAATTTAGTCTTCCGGCGTGTCTTGCGTCACGTCGTAGTCAGGCGAAACGTAGGTACTTCAGTTGATGTCTCGCTTCGTGTATTTCCGTTGCGTGATTTGTGGGGGGTAAAGAGAGAAGGGAATAATTAGTGTGACGTAAGAAAACCTCTTGCTCAATATCGTACATGTAAGCCAATCAAATTGCGTCTCCTATGATACCACCCTTCTCGCATTGACCTTTGGACTCGTTTCTACGGAAAGCGCTTTGTGGCAGCGTTCCCTTGGAAAATTACCGGGAATCACATGTACAATAATCGTAGTCGTAGCGTAACCTGTATATATTTATTTCTAAACACAGAGCAACATGTCATTTGCATCAGCAATATCGCGGTAAGCACGGCTACACTCCTGTCTTAGCTTGAATTTGTCGTATCCAGAATTTGTCGTGTCCAGAATTTGCCGTGTCGTGTCTTGGGTTCATGCTGTTTTATGAAACTCAGTATATAGCAACTGAATTTCTCCTCGACTCTTTCTTTCTTGCAGGTTTCCGTCGTTAGCTGTTTCACGGTCAGCTCCCTTTACACTACGTAAAAGCATCGTTCTTCGAAGAATGGCTTCTCAGCTGGCAGCCGGTTGTTCTGTTATTCGAGGACATTTCGAATCCTTACCCGCCAAGGTACAAGACTATGTTGCTGACAAAGTCGAACTGTGCCAACCAGACAACGTTTATATTTGTGATGGATCTAAAGAAGAGAACGAGTCCCTCATCAATGAGTTGATCGAGGCTGGTGTGCTTACCAAACTTACTAAATATGATAACTGGTATGTTTAGATACTTGCGTCAAAGTCTAGCTAAGTTTTTATTTGACACTTTCTGTCAAACGTGTTGTACACTTGTTAGGGGCATGTCTTCATTTTCCTGAAGGCCCTGATTTCTGCAGTTTATGTGATCTTTGTCTGACAGTGTTACATGAACTACTGTCACTGCTCTACACTTGGGAGATCATCAAAGAGAGAGCTCGATCACCTCAAAGCAAACTTCAATTTATATTTCATAGTTTCTTGGCGCGTACTGATCCACGCGACGTGGCACGTGTGGAGTCTAAAACATACATTTGTACAGAGGAGAAACGAGAATCAATTCCAGCAGCCAAAGATGGAGTTAAAGGCCAGTTGGGTAACTGGATGAGTATAGAAGCTATGAAGAAAGAGTTGGGTAAACGATTTCCTGGATGTATGAAAGGTAAATTGAAACTCGTTCATGTCGAATACTGTACTGGGCAAATTAAGCTTAGAAAAAATTATAATGATTTACAAGAAAAAAAAGGTTCTGATGAGGATACATTTGTGCTTGTAACGTTAGATTATTTTCAGGGGATAGAAAATTTTATATTTCGTTTCTCGTACGTTTGGTCGAAATCGTCTCGTCATACCGGTGTTTTCGGCACGTCCTGTTGGAGCGTGATTTTGATTGGTTGGTTATGGGAGGTGTGTCGAGGGGCATGCCACGTAAATGGAACATTGTTCATTTACAGAAGTTTCAAAGGTCATTTTGCCTTGTGCCAATATCTGAATATATCTATATTGGAAGAGTGTTTGTGTTGTTTTGACTTAAGAGTCTTATTCTTAATACCTGCTATGTTGCTTAATATTTTTATTTTTGTTTTGTCTGTCTATCTCATCATAAAACAGACCATCCTTACTTGAATTGCCTACATTTTGAACTTTTCTTTGAATTTAAAATATGCTCACAGAAAAAAAAATGGAATTGTGTCATAACATTATAATTTTCAGTGGAAAGAATAGCTTTCATTTTCCTTACGTTTGTTGGAAATAATTGTCTTGTCATCGTGGTATTTTCACTCGCTGATATTGATTGGTCGGTTCAGGAGGTGAGTTCAGGAATAGGAAAAATCGATGCAATATTGTTAATTTAAAGAGTCAGAAGTATCAAAGGTCATTTCATTTTGTGCCATTAGTTCTGTATTGTTGAAGAATGTTTGTTTTGTTTTAACAAAGAGTCCTTGTTGTCAGTGCTTATTGTTATCTGTGATTATTGTTTAGCATTAATTCTTGATTGTCCCTATATCATCCCCCAAGACTTTACCCTCACTTGCACTGCTTATATTTTGAGCTATATTTTATTTTATGTGCGGTGGTTGATACCTGTGTTTGAATTTATCAAAATACATATGTGTGCTATTAAATTAAAAAAGTTTTAGACAGAAGAACAAGTTTATGGTTGGTTAGAGGAATATAGAATATGGAGTAAGGAAAAACTGATATAATCTTGGCTACTCAACAACATTCACATAACTACAATGTACTTAAAAGACATGCTGTACCTCTTAACCCTTTCACTAGCAATCATGCATGCCTTATTTTTATAAGGGACCCTCTTGTGATGATAAACCTCTGAAGTGTTGTTATAGTGACCCTTGATAATTTTTTACTCAGATAAGATGAAGCGTGTAGGGGTTGTTTTGGTTTAGGAGTTGATTTCTGATAATTATTGTTTAACCAAATCAAAATCCAGGACCGCTGCCAACAGTTTCAATTTAAATTAACACCAGGTCCCAACTTGCTTTAAGTCATGGCTTCAAAATGTAGCTTCAAGATGCATTTTGATATTATTTGAAGCAATGTCATCAAAATAGTGTTCAACTGTTGGTTTATTTACAGCTATAATGCAAAAGTGTAATATTTTGAAATGTTTTTGCAATTTACTCAAGATTTAACTTACAGGGTATTTTTATTGTACTTGCCATACACCATAGTTTAAGGCACTGGTATAAGCTTTTAATATCACTTCTGATTCACGCAAAATTCATGTTCTACTGATTTTCAATATCCACGGAAATATTGATTGGCTTCAAAAATACATTATGCCAAACTTCAATTCATGTCCAATTACTGATGTAAGTTTTATATCTAATAAGAGTATCCTATTACAGGAAGACTGTTTAAAAGATGATTGAAATGGTTGGTATGGTCTTGAAAAACTGTATGGAGACACCTCAAATGCTTTGGGTTAATCCTAGAATTAAATGTCAATGGAAAACATCCTGAATGGGACAGCATAATCCAACTCTAAAATCAAATTAAATCAAAAACTTTATTTACATGTTGAAATTTATCCAGCCAGGAGGAAACACCCCTCTACCAATTGGGGACACTTAATATCCAAGGCTAGTTTTTATTGATGCTTGTCACCGAGCATAAAATCACATTTACATTTAAACTCTAAATTTACTGTTCCACTGCGAAAAGTTAAAGAAAAAGTTCAATGTTCCAAAAACTATCATTGGCTTCAACCACGTTTTGTTTCCTGAGTAGCCCAACCTGAAGCTTACTGCCAGGTCTCCCGCTAGTTTCCAGATCCTATAGTTCCAACTCACGAAACTCTGTGACAAAGCTCTTACTGTTGTCAGTCTGTTCAGGTCAAAAATAAGTTTTTTCGTATATTCACTTGCAAATGATCAATCGACTCAGTTCTGGTAATGTGTTTGACTCCATACTGAATCTGATGTGTCTCTTTTAGGTCGCACCATGTATGTGATGGCATTCAGTATGGGTCCTGTGGGATCACCTGTATCCAAGATTGGTATTCAGGTTACTGACTCTCCTTATGTTGTGTGCTCCATGCGCATAATGACTCGGATGGGTGCAGAGGTTTTGAAAGTTCTTGGCGACAGCGACTTTGTGAAGTGTCTTCACTCGGTTGGTGTGCCTAAACCTGAACCACCATCTCAGTACAAATGGCCATGTAATCCAGATAAGACCATCATCTCTCATTTTCCTCATGATCGTGAGATTAAGTCATTTGGAAGTGGTTATGGAGGAAATTCTCTACTGGGAAAGAAGTGTTTTGCTCTAAGGATTGCTAGCACTCTTGGTCGTGATGAAGGATGGCTGGCAGAGCATATGTTGGTATGATAAAATTTCTCAGTCTTCAATCTGAAATTAAGTGATTTAGTGACAATTTATAATTCTTAAGGTTACCCAAGAATAAAGATCATAAGGTGGGCCACAATTTTTGTTATTATTTTTCTGTTTTGGCAATCTATAACAAGTGGAAGGGAAACTGTTTGAGCCAGGAAAACCTTAGAAACAATAACAGAAACATGAAAATTACTTACAAATGAGGCTTTCGACACTTTTAGAGACATGTGTAGAAAGCCTGACTTGAAAGTTATTTACATCTTTCAGTTATTGTTTCTAAGGCTTTCATGGATCAAATAGTTTCTCTTCTACTTGTTAGGTAAGACCGACTGTCAGGGGCTGGAGCCATGAAACACACAAACGTCTCAAAGGAAAGATGTCCCATTGGATTGGCCACGTCCTATCTACTCACATCAACAAGTTAATACCACATATCTAGCATGGTTGCCGTGATGGTGTACACACCCAACTAGTTTGCAGGGAGACACGGGTTTGAATCCTGCTAGGGACACAAAGTTTTTCTTTCATTTCAGAGACGTGTGTCGAAAGCCTGACTTGTACATTATTTACATATTTATGTTATGGCAATCTATGAGTAGTTGAATTTCTACAGTATCAAACTGTTTATCTGTTTTGGCCATCTAGGTTGTGGCTCTCACAAACCCTAAAGGTGAGAAGAAGTACATTGCTGCTGCCTTCCCAAGTGCGTGTGGAAAAACAAATCTGGCCATGATGACACCAACACTACCAGGGTGGAAAGTTGAGTGTGTTGGAGATGACATTGCTTGGATGTGGTTTGATGAAGAAGGTCAACTTCGGGCCATCAACCCAGAGAGTGGCTTCTTTGGAGTTGCACCAGGGACATCAAACAAGACCAACCCAGTTGCTATGGATACTTGCCAAAAAGGAACACTTTTTACAAATGTTGCCCAAACAAGTGATGGTGACTTTTGGTGGGAAGGTATAATGTAATATTTGGGCAGTGAATATTTTAATTGAATTACAAATGACATGATGTTAGGATATCAACTAAATCTTTATGTCAAAATGAGAGTGGGATTTTTGGGGTTGAACATGTGATAATGATCCAATCAAAATAGTGGATAAAATACGCAAACATGAAAATTAACTTTTAGGTTCAGGTTTAGGGTTAAAAGCAGTAAGGATAACATATTTCTTGCTGTGATTAATTCACTGAATCTTGGTTATCAGTCATTATTAACCAATAATGAGTGTAAATGGATAATGACTTCAGTAAGTGTTGTTGACATGTACATGTAGTTAACATTTTTTTGGCTGTAATGGCAAGTTATGTCGAAAAAAATGGACAGCAAAGACAGCAGATTTCGTAAGCTTTCTACTACAAAAATGTGGGAAATATAAGATGAATACCATCCTGGAAACTAAAAAGCCACATAATTTAAAAGTAATGACCCAATCAACTCAACTACCTAGAACTTGATACAAAAGATCTAATCGTTATATTCTATCATCTCAATGTTCCACAACTGGCACAAACTTGCTAAAATAAGTGATGATGTTTAAAATGGAAGCTTTAAACATTCTTTTTTAATGTGTGTTATAGATATGTTATATTATATATCATATTATATATTTTTCAATTTATCCTTAGTCTATAAAATTAACGACAACATTTACATGTTCATTATATTAGTCTTTGTGTCATCAGTATGTCAACAGATCGTTTATTGCACAGGTTTACCATTACCAGAGAATGCAAATATCACAAGCTGGCTAGAGGAGAAAAACTGGAAGCCTGGCAACACCAAGGCAGCACATCCTAACTCCAGATTCTGTGCACCAATCAGTAATTGCCCGATCATGGATGCTGACTGGGAGAATCCTAAGGGTGTTCCTATCAGTGCAATATTGTTTGGTGGCCGACGCCCTCAGGGAGTTCCATTAGTGTATGAGGCCTTTAACTGGCAGCATGGGGTGTTCATTGCCTCATCTATGTCGTCAGAGGCCACAGCCGCTGCAGAGCACAAGTCTAAAACAGTCATGAGAGATCCCTTTGCCATGAGACCCTTCTTTGGCTACAATTTTGGCAAGTACATGGAGCATTGGCTTAGTATGGCCAAAAATCCAAATCACAAGTTGCCAAGAGTTTTCCATGTAAATTGGTTCCGCACTGATGAAAATGGCAAGTTTTTATGGCCAGGTGAGCTTTGTGAGGCATACTCTATAGATATGGTCAAAACCAGGCAAGTGCTCCTTCCAATGATGATGTTGATGAATTCACTAGATATATGGAAAAATGTTGATTGGTTGACTGTACTGTTAAGCTTGAAAAAACAGTACAAGAGGTGGCTGACCCAATAATACTGTTATGCATATTAGGGGCTGCATAGACCCTTTGCATAAATGGTGCCTAAATATTAATAACAATACTTTATAATACATCCTTTGCCCCATACTTATGTTTCCAGACAAAGGATTTTTCATATGAATGTGAGGCTTAGGGTGTATCAAGTATTGTTATTCAAATATTGGCGCCATTTGTACAGAGTGGTCTGGTATGTATTTAGGTTTAACTTGTGTACCAGCAAGCTCTCTTCAGTTAAAATATTCTTTCTAAAGACAGTGAACCTTAACCAGATACCTCATGGAACAAGCCCATAAAAGGCAAGGACACGCCACCTTTGAAGCACTTTGTTGCCTTTTTCGATACCAGTGTATGGATCTTTATTGCACACAGGATTTAATCTTCCAGTAACTTGGTCAGATTACACCTAATTATTTAGTTCAATCTTTGTTTTAATAATTGTTTAAAGAGGGTCATTTGGGGGNTGTTGATTGGTTGACTGTACTGTTAAGCTTGAAAAAACAGTACAAGAGGTGGCTGACCCAATAATACTGTTATGCATATTAGGGGCTGCATAGACCCTTTGCATAAATGGTGCCTAAATAGCACGGTTCATGAACAGAACATAGAGGATCCCGGATATAAAAATTCTGTTGTCCCGAGTCACGAAAATATTTAATAATATATATAATTTTTAATAATTTGTTCTTACACTAGGAAGAGTGCATGGTCGAAAAAAGCAAAATCATAAAGGCTAACTCGAGGCTCCATATTGCAAATCGCATACCCAAGTCACTCTCGATAGACGACTCTAACCATTCGGAGGACTTGTGTCTCAAAATAATGTAGAATAGGCAGCAGGGGTTCACATTAGTTTCTTTGAAATTGAATGGTTTTGAGTCACATTAAGAAAACAAATTTTTGCTGATCCTTGTTTTCAGTTATCACTATTGTTTTAATTGTTTAGAGTCCCTTTTTGTAATTTCTATAACTCATCTACTTTGCTTACTGTAATTTGAAGGGTTTGGAGAGAATAGCCGTGTTTTGGAGTGGGTGTTAAGACGTTGCAGTGGAGAGGACATTGCCGATCCCAGTCCAATTGGATTCATCCCTAAGAGTGATACAATCAACACACAAGGTCTTGAAGAATTGGACATGGAGAAGTTGTTTAGCATTCCTAAAGACTACTGGATGGAAGAATGCCAGTCTTTACGGAAATATTATGATGAACAACTTGGTGAAGACTTGCCCCAAGCTGTTCGCGACGAGTTAAATGCTCTTGAAGGAAGACTCCAGGCAGTTTAAATGGCTGTAGATAAATAGCTGTAGAAAGCACACTTTTAGGTTAATTCTATGTAAAATCTCTATTTATGCATCACATCATGGAACATCCTAAAAACCCAGTTTTTGCCAGGAAGCTTTGGTGCACTGTGCAGCATTGGAAGACAGTAGAAACCTGACTATCATGTGAACCAAAACAGTAACATGTGCAAAAAGCATAATGGTCAATACTGGGTCTTTTAGTTTGCGTGGAGTGAAATCAAGTTGAGATTTCCTCATCTGCAGTGTACTAGTAATGATTAGTATCACCCAACTAGTGGACTAAAGCAAATCCTGTATTTTAATTGGCTACGCTACTAGAGGACTATTAGTAATAGTCCTCAAGTTGCAAAATTGGCTCAATCGAGCATGACGCTTTCTTTCATTTTATTCCCAAATAAGTATTTCTTTAACTTGCATTTGCTAACTTTATTATTGCCTTTTCAGTCCGACTAGTTGGGTGATACTAAAACAATGAGACCCTTCGCCCTCAAGGGCCATGGGTCAATAGCCCTTGTGGGCTATGGGTCTTATTGTTAATTAGTTATTCAATATATACCATAGAGCCCATTCAATACAACCACCAACAGGCCGAAAAAATCTGGCATTTTAATGTTTAGTGGTTTTTCAATTGCTATCAATTCTACTTTAATTTGCTTTAATGTCTTTTCAGGTATTTCAGCAGAGAAATTTAATAGTCCTTACCCAAAATATAGGAGAAATGCAAGAGTTTCAAATAAGAAATTGCCCAAGCTTTCTGCTAAGCCAAAAGTGGTTGTAGGGCAGGGTTCCACTTTGAATTAATATAAATGTGCGGTAATTAAAACATACTTCTTAGGTAGTTGTAGTTTTAAAAACTGTAGGATTGAGTGCAGAAAGGTCTCATCAATTTTTTGAACACAAATGGAACAAATCTTCTTTCTAATCTGTTGTTATATATGGGACCAAGAAATACCAATGTTTGTTGTAACTTTTCGCTTTCAGAAACAAACGAACAAAAAAGATTTCTGCCCTTCAAATGAAAATTGTTTAATATAACTGGATAACATAAAAGGGATAGCAGTAGCAGTTGGTAGATGCTGCAACAGCTGTGCAGCAATAGAACTAAAGAAGAATTGGCTTGTTAGGAACCTATGAATACATTCAAGGCTACAGTAACCAATAATCCTCCAACTAAGTGTAGTCAGCAACACAATGACACAAAGTTACTTTCAGTAGGGAGCTTTTGCCAGTAACCATAATGACCATGTAGACAAAAAAAAAAAAGAATTTTCTATCATCATATTTCACAACATTACCTTTGAACATCTATTTTGCATGTTATCGGGTGTTACGAGTACTCATCTCCATTAAGACCACGAAATAGTCACCTTCCCTCAACAAAATACATTTAGTCTGGATTTAGATCTGCCTACTAAACTTCTTGTTAGGGTCATGATTTGTAAAGCTCCCAAATTTTGCTGGATGCTAACAAGCTAGAATGTTTCCATAGTTTAGTAAACAACCAAAATAATGTACCCCTTAGATCAGTTGGCTGAAAACTTTGGCCTCGATGGATAGGTTTGCTCTGTTGTGTTTAACAAACTTCTTAGTTAAATTTCTTATTTATAGACCAAATGATGCAATGGTAAATCAATTGACTTACAGTTAGGAGTACTTACTAACAGTAGTCAGTCGGTCAGAATTAATTATTTACCAAAGCAGTGAATGGCTGTATTTGGAGGGGCTCTGTAATTAGCATACTGCTTGGTATTTCATGGGTGTGTTTTTGATGCCTAGGATTTTTTTTGAAGGAGTGAACTTGGCATAATTAGTAATTAATAATGATTTCATGCAATTTTCTATACTCTAAACATGTATATTGTATTTGTTTGTTTTCGTTTATCAAATTATTAGTCCATTGCGAATGGATAAGTGAGGTGTACAAATGTTTAGTGCTGCAAACTCCAGACAACCAAATAGAAGGTGACCTCTTAATATACTGGCACAGGTTTTCTGTTATTGCGTTTCACAGGTTTAGTAAAATCAGTCTAGTTTTCATTGGCAGTCATTTAATTAACTTTTAAATAATGTGCGATATTATTTGTTCAGGCCACAACATGCTTCTCTGTAACAACTGTTTTCTTATTTGATATTTAAATGGTGAACAAGAAATATTAATAAAGTGATATTAGCTTGCTCTCCTCAATTGTAACCTCGGGCAACAATTCCTTAGCTTAGTTAAAAAAAAAAAAGAATAGAAAAATTTATTGATTAGGCAAAGTGGGAAGATACACCCTTTTCCCATTTGTGTTACATCTTTAAGTTCTTAACAGGAAAATGCTGTCATTAATTAAAGAAAAGCTAACTGAATTTGATATCTTATTTTTTTCATTCAAAATAAAATCAAAGGCTGACTTGTCCCCATTCATTCTTATGAAAAAATTGCAAGATTGAAGAAAGATTGTTCACAGTACTTTCTCAAACGAGGGGACGGGACAGGTTGGCAATAAAGGCTAAATTTTACATGACATGTTGTGTCACTATATTGTTCTAAAGCCGTGTAAAGCAAAGGTTGACAGGCAGCCAGTGTGGTGGGCAGATAAGTCGCAGCGACTAAAATAGAACATCAAAGACTGACACAACCAGGATTGGGCTTGGTCCACAAATTAACATCAAAGGAACTAGCAAGGACGGCATAAAATTTGAACGAAATGAAAAGTAAAAAACAAAATTACTGGTTGCCATCACTATAGTGAAAACTCGAAGAGACTTGAGTACCGCTCTTCGAAGGCTGCGATATAACTTATTTTGCCACCTCTATTTAAGTGAATGCCATCCGAAGAAAAGAAACTATTACGAGCCCTCCAAAATTTCCTATGGCCCCAATATAGGGAGTAAGGGATAGGCTCTAAGGCCACCCGAAGATATCGTTTTAAAATATCGACTTTTTGGTTGAAAACCACAGCTGAGCGTCGACGGATAGTCTGGCGTACGCTTACACCCTTCACACCTTACGAATCATGCAGCAAGTGCACGAAATCCTCAATGGCAGAGCCCACTTGCAAAGGAGGACAAGATGTTAAGTCACTAGTGCCAAGTTGCACAATAACTATATCTGGGCGGAACGAGTGAAGGACATGTAGGTCGAACGTTACCGTCATAGCGATTGTGCGCCCCCCAACCCCACGCCAACTTATGTGAGCTGACACCGTCAATTGGAACGTTGAATCCAAATGCCCGTAGTTAGTTTCAATGAAATCATGTAAGCGACGAATACTGAAACGAATGGCGCAGAATTAAAATGCAGGGTCTACCCATATTAAACTACCCGTCGAAAGAGCTCCGCAATTAAGCACAAAAGGAATCAAAGTAAATAAACTCTAGAAATACTACAAGACGAAATAACTAAAGAGCACTCGCCTGAAAGAACAAATACGTACGCGTCTTAACGCTGAATAGCTGAAAAGTTCTTCTTGCGATGATGACAATAGTAGAAGAGGGGCCCCGTGTACGAGGTGACCGACCTTTTGTACTTAACTGGGACACGCGCCCATTGTTGCAACTTTAAAACACAAACCGCAAGCTGATAAGACATAGGAAATGCCTTGCGTTAAAATAACATTATCTTTCCGGTTTTCGGCATAATGTTCGTTTTTTTTTCCTACTTGAAGCTGTAAAGACATGAAACTGCACATTCGAGCGAAAACGGACGTAAATTGTCCATTTTCGCTTCATACCTCCCAATTCCCTCTAAAGCACAGTTTGGCTACTTGAAGCTGTAAATACTTGAAACTGCACACTTGAGCAAAAACGCACGTAAAATGACGATTTTCGCTTCATACCTCCAAATTGTCTCAAAGACGCAGTTTTAGCTACTACACGCTGTAAAGATTGGAAACTGCACATTTGAGCGAAATCGCACGAGAAATCTCGATTTTCGTTTCATGCCTTACAATTGCCACAAAAACACAGTTTTAGCTATTACAAGCTGTTAAGACTGGAAACTGCAAATTTGTGCAAAATCGCACGAGAAATGTCGACTTTCGCTTCATGCCTCCCTATTGCTTCAAAAACACATTGTTTTTCTACTTGAAGCTATAAATATTTGACCCTGCTTTTTTGAGTGAAAACGGACGTAAAATGACAATTTTCGCTTCACACCTCCAAATTGCCTCCAATACACAGTTTTAGCTACTTCAGTACTTGAAGCAGTAAAAACTTCAAATCGCACGAGAAATGTCGATTGTCAATTCATGCCTCAAAATTGCCTCTAAAACAGTTTTAGCTTCTTGAAGCTGTAAATACTTGAACCTACTTATTTGAGCGAAAACGGACGTAAAATGACGATTTTAATACTTGCAAACTGCCTCAGAAACGCGGGTTTCGCTACTAAAAGCTGTTAAGACTGGAAACTGCACATTTGAGTGAAAATCGCTCCCAATTACCTCTAAAATACAGTTTTAGCTATTTGAAGCTGTAAATACTTGAAACTGCACATTGGAGCGAAAACGGACGCAAAATGACAATTTTCCATTTAAACCTTCCAATCGCTTCAGAAACGCAGTTTTAGCTACTACCAGCTGTAAAGACTTGAAACTGCACATTTGAGCGAAGTCGCACGAGAAATGTCGATTTTCGCTTCATGCCTCCAAATTCCCTCGGAAACAGAGTTTTAGCTACTTGAGGTTGTAAATACTTGAAACTGCACATTTGAACTAAAAAGGACGTAAAATGTCCATGATTTTCACTTCATGCCTCCCAATTGATTCTAAAACACATTTTTGAGTTTTTTTTGGTAAAAAAAGTCCCTCTTAGTCAACGGGTCTGGGGTATGTTATGAGCGGGTCAATGGATGAGTGAGTGAGCGAGCGAGCGATGTACGTATGTCACACCAATCAGATTGACATTTCTTCTGAAAAGTCTCGGAAAAAATAAAAGCTCGTAAACAGCAATACCATTTCCTCAATTGGCTCGATCTACAACAATAATAGCTTAATGCTACCATAACGAAGATATAAACAACTTGTATACATTCGTGTTAATACCACCGGTAGACGTGTCAGAGCGATCGTGACATATTTATGACCTTTAAGTCCTACGAATTATATTCTGTGAGCTAGAAAGTCCGCATCTCAACACTCCAAGCCGGTTTGGCATTCGCATCTGCAATTTGCTAGACTACAAGTAGTTCCTCTTTTGCTTAGTCCGTCGTGCGTAACGCGAAAGAAAACCGCGAGAAAAAAATGGCCGCGCGAAATCCTGGGGGCGGGGAGCGCGCGAATCGCGCGGCCTTTTTTTTCTCGCGGGTTTCTTTCGCGTCACGAACGACGGACTGAGCGAAAGAGGGACTACTTGTAGTCTAGCAATTTGCAGCCAGAAATTCCATACTGATGATGTAAAGGTGTACTGAATCTGGATAGGAGCGCCGATTAATCAACTTGCATAGTATGTTGAGCGATCTAA